CATGTTTCTAATGAGCACTTATAAATGTGGCTAGTGTCACTGGGGAACAAATTGTATTTAATTTTAATTAATTTAAATGTAAATAGCCACATGTGATTAGCTTCTTAAAGTTGAGCTACGAAGCTACCTTGTGGCAACTTGGCCTTGTCTTTCATTTTTCACATCAACAAATTATTCCTGAGAATTCCCTGAGGCAGATCATTCTGCTCCTCCTGACTGTGGCATTTGGCAAACTATTCCTGGGTCCCTTGGCTTGATACGATGGCTCAACCTCCCAGCCCAGCAAGAAGACAGAAGGCTACTACCAGAGCCTGATTCAGACACTCAGAGGCCCTAGGGGCTAAAAGCTGCAGCCGAAGTAGTAAAGCAAACAGAAAGCCTCAGCCTTCATGGTGCTTAAATGGAGGTCTGAGTGCGTAGTGGTTAAGAGGACGGAGCCAGAGCCAGGCTGCCTGAGTGATCAGCCAGTGTGAACTTGGGCGAGTCATTTTACCTCTCTGTGCCTAAGTTGCCACATCGATAAAACCTGAAAGATGACCATGCCCTTGTCATAGAATTGTTATAAAGTAAGAAGCTTAGGACAGTGCCTGGTGCATTATGAGTACATGTACATGTTTTTTATTATTGTTTTAATGGACATGGGGAACTAACAGTCCACGTATACACATCCACACCTAGTGAGTAAATTCAGGAGAGTGATGAGCGCTGTGAAGGACATAAAAATGAATCATGGGGTGAGAAAGCTACTGGTTGGGGGCAAGGTGATAAGTTTAGAATGGTGGCCAGGGACAGGAGGTTTGAGATGAGACCTGAACAAGGAGAGGGATCCTACTGTGGGCAGATCTAGGGGAAGGTCATTCCAGGCACAGGGAACTGAGTAGGAAAAGCCTCTGAGGCAGGGAAAAGCTTGTCATGTTAATGGGCCAGAAGGAAAAACAGTGTGACTAAGGGACAATGAGTGGGGACAGAATGGCTGGAGGTGAGCCTGGTCATCCAAGGCCAAGAGCTGAGACTGTGCTCAAAGTGGAACGGGTGGCCTTTGGACAGTTTTAAAAACAAGAAGGGCTTTTTGTTTTTAGTGGATAACTGGAACAGGCAAACAAGCCAGTGGGAAGACATGCAGGCTGGGGGTGAAGGTACCAGCACAGTGCTACTTGCTGGGGTCCCTGGGCTCACCTCCTCACTTATGCTTTCAGACCCCATGTGCTTTCTTCTCCCCATCGTTGTATCTGCCCAAAGAGAGAGCTGGAGGTGAGGAACGAGTGATGAGGCTGAAGCTATCATCTTTCTAGAAATCTGCCCACTCCCAGACTGCTGAGAGAATGGATTGTCCCAGGCCCAAGTGGAAGCCGAGGCCAGTTAGGAGGTTAAGATACAAGAACATGGCAGCTTGGACAAGGGTGTTGGCAGTGGGGACAGGGCTGAAAGACCCTCAATGCGTTTGGGGCTTCGCTGATGATTAGGACTGAAGGAATGAGAGGGAGAGAGAGACAAAGGTTTTCGCTTGAACATGAAGACAGGTGCAGACATTAACTGAGATGGGAAGACGAAGGAAGGGCCAGATGGAAGAGGACTCCAAATCGAGAGACAGTAAATGCTTTCTATTATACATTCTATTTTTCAAAATGACACCCACCCATGAGGAAACAACGAGACAAATCAAGACTGTGGGACATTTCTTAAGTCAGCTGGCCTGGATTCTTCAAAAAGTCAATGACTAACTGTAATAGGAATTATAAAAAAATTTCTTTAAAAACTGTATGTCCTAGGAAGTGAAAATGGCAGAGGATTGTTCTAGATTAAGGAAAGAAAAGCCTGGCTGGTTAGCTCAGTTGGTTAGAGTATGGTCTTATCACACAAAGGTCAAGCGTTCAGATCCCTGAACCAGCCAGCAACCAAAAAAAAAAGAGATGGAATAACAAATGCAAACAGAAATCTATATTGGATCCTAGTTCAAAAAAACAAAGGAGCTATAACAGACATTCTTGGGATGATTAGGAAAATTTGAATGTAGACGACATAATAGACAAAATTATGGAACTTATTTTGTTAGATGTGATAACAGTGTCGTGGTTGCTCTTCTCAGGAGGGGCAAGCTGAAGTACAGTCTTTAGGGGTAAAAAATATGATGTTTGTAATTTACTTTCCAGTGACTTAGATAGATGAATGGATGGATGGATAGATAGAGCAGTTACAGCAAAATGTTAATTATCAAATCTAGGAGGAGGAGTCATTATGTTGTGGTATTATTCTTTCAACCTCTCGTATGCTTGAAAATCAGCTATATCCAGAATCCCCTTGGGCATTATTAAAAATGCAGATCCTGGCCCTACCCCGAACACTTTAAGAACCACTGGTCTAAAGACATGTACATTGAGCTTTACCCAGATGACAGATCAAAAATAAGAGTGTCCTTAATTTCATTACTACTGCTTTTAGCTACCTAACCTCCTATCTACAATCCTCTTCATCCTTTGCTAATAGAATTCTGATTTTTTTTAAACATATCCAGCTTCAAATTGGGTCATGGTTGGTCTAAATCCATGGTTTTTCGAGGAGGGAAAATTTTGCCTCCCAACTGACTTTGGAAATGTCTGGAAACATTTTTGGTTGTCACAACTAAGGGCTACAGCGTCTAGAGGGTAGAGGCAAGGGATGCTGTTAAACACCCTACAATGCACAGGACAACCCACACCACAAAGAATTAGGTAGGCCAAAATGTCAATAGTGCTGAGTTTGAAAACCTTGGCCTAAACTAATCATGAAACCCTTAATCCCCACTTTGCAGGTTCTTTTGCAGTGAGGGAAGGTCACCTGACCTAGTTCTGACTATGAGACCTGAGGGTAAGTCAGGGAAAACTTTTATTTTCTTCGTAAAAGTCACAGATGAGGCTGTCCCACCTCTTCCCACTTCTTCCTGCTTTGAATACTGATGTGATCTCTGGAGCTGTGGCAACAATCTTGCAACTATGAGGGAAAGAATAAGAGAATCACAAGAAAGCAGGCCCTGACATCAGACTCCCTTGCCACTTGCATCCAGAATTCTTGTTATATGAAAATATTAACACTCCTTTGTTTAAACCTCTATGATTTGACTTTTCTGTTTCCAGTAGCCAAAAGCACTCCTAATCCTCATACTACTACTCAGTTTAATTCTAGCTGGTGAACTAATGAGAAGGTTTTAACTATCTCAGCTCTGGTTTATAGGCTTCTCTTCTGCATTGTAAAAAGGTTAGATGCTTTCACAGAAGCCAGTCAAAGAGTCAGATGGCTTAAATAAGGAAACAAAAATGCCTATATTACTGACCCCTCTGCAAGACAGAAACCAACTTTTCTTGGTGCTGTGGGTGGAGTTTCACATAAATCTCTTATTACTATTATTTATTAGTGTGCATTTACTACTCATTTAAAAGCATTCTTAATTACTCATTGAAAGCCTTTGATCATAAAAACCTGCCATTTTACTCATTGTTCAGGTGTATGCAATGTATCTGTCTCAGGGCAGAAAACAATATTTGGCTTCTGTCTTCTAATTCTATGCCTAACACAGGAACGTGGTTTTATTTCAGTGTTCATCCTATGAGGGAAAGGAACATGATTTTTTTTTTCTTGGAACCCTGGACGTTGGTGTTTCAAGCACCACACTCGAACCCAACTGAGCTAACCAGCCAGCCTCAGAACATGGCTCTTAATCTAGCTTTCTTTTCAAGCAAATGAGAGGCCTAGTACAAATCATCTAAGGATTTCTAGAGCCCTATTGTTTGGGGAAGTCCTAACGAAGAGCCCATGAAAGATTATTTCTCATACTTAGTAAACAGGGGAAACAGCAAGAGCTAAAGTGTTCTGTCCAGTAATTATTTTTCATCCTTTTAGCCCAGAATTAACACACAGATGCCACAGACAATTTACTCCAAAAACTTTCAGACTTCTCCTTTGGCAATCAAACATTTGAAGAAAAAAAAGTCTAATCTGTTTTTGATTTTTTTTGGCAGCTGGCTGTTACAATCAAATATATATTTTTTTCAATTAAAAAAAAGCAAAAACAGGGCCATTTTAAGACCTTTGTAAGCCCTAGGCATTTTTACTTTAGATACCGCAGCCAAATAGTAAACATTTCATATTATATTATACTTTGAAATGTACCCACATTAAGTGCAATTCCCTATATCATAGTTGAGGTGGGTACCAGTTTATGTATTATCTTTTGTAGATATTAAAATATTTAGGGGCCCTAGCCTCACCCCATCCCCCCACTCCCACTGCAACCAGGCCAGCAATGGAGCCAGCTATGGGCCAGCCCCACCCCCAACAACATCTAATAATGTACCTATTATTAAAATAAGAAGAAAAGAAATCTTAGTACAAGAACAGTTTTAAAGTTTTTAATCACAATAATATTTCTTATGTTAATTACATGTTTAAATGATAACTTTTGGATATATAGGGTTAAATAAAATATATTAAGTTCAAAAAAATTTAAATTAAATTTGGTAATTTTCATGTATTGGATACAATTTTCTTTCTTTCTTTCTTTTTCTTTTTTTTTTTTTTACAATCTCAAGCATTGTGGTAGGACTTTGAAAAGTTTATAAATCCTAACAACTGGACCTACAGAATCTCATTGACAATATGATCCCGGAAAAAAAGAAAAATGACTTCTGATGATACCTCGTTCAAAGGGTGGTATGCATCAGAAACTGCATTCATTTTTACTTCATTTTTTTAAAACTACATAAAATATATAGGGCCGGCCTGTGGCTCACTCGGGAGAGTGCGGTGCTGTTAGCACCAGTGCCACAGGTTCGGATCCCATATAGGGATGGCCGGTTTGCTCACTGGCTGAGCGTGGTGCTGACAACACCAAGTCAAGGGTTAAGATCCCCTTACCGGTCATCTTTATAAAAAAAAAAAAAAAACTACATAAAATATATAAAGCAAAATAATGCATTACCCTCTGTCAGTCAAGGAAGCAGGAGTTTGTTTAACTGCAGAGCTGAGCAATGTCTAAATCAAAGGAACTTTTTTCTTCGAGCTCTTCTGGCAGCAATTCTGAGAGTGAAGTTTACAAACAATTAAAAAGGAAAAAGCAAGTTGCTCCAGAAAAACCTGTTAAGAAGCAAAAGCCTGGTGAAACTAGGAGAGTTCTGTTATCTTCCAAACAGAACAGTAGCAGCAGAAATGATAATATGTTTCAGATCGGGAAAATGAGATACATCAGAGACTTTAAAGGGAAAGTTATAATTGATATTAGAGAATCCAGATGGATCCAGAGGGTGAAATGAAACAGGAAGAAAATGTGTTTCCTTACATCTGGAGCAATGGAGCCAGGTGAAGGAACAGATTTCTGACACTGATGATGTAGTAAGAAAACTAAAATCCAAGCCATATAAAACCTGAACTGTTCTATTTGTTTTAATCTGTCTTTTTACATTAACTTTTATTTTCTAAATTTTGTTTTCCAACCCATTGTATATTTCAATTGCAGAACAATTTGTAAGATGAATACTTTTTTTTTTTTGCAATTTTTTGTCCCCCGGAGGCTGGCTCGTCAGCGGTTTCAAACCCTTGACCTTGGTGTTGTGATCACCACACTCTACCAAGTGAGCTAACCAACCAGTTCCCCTGCTTTCCTAATGTGCATTATTTAAAACGTTTTGAGTGAAGCTAATTGCCAACTTTATTAAGGAGGATTACTTTGTGCCCACCTAGTGTAAATGAAAATCAAGCAATAAAAAAAAAATGCATTAAGTACCAAACAAGATTTTTCAGCTGGCTGGTTAGCTCGGTTGGTTAGATAGAGCACAGCCTTGGTAACCCCCAGGTCAAGAGTTCAGATCCCTATACCAGCCAACTGCCAAAAAAAGAAAAAAAGATTTTTTAAAGTAGAAGCAATGGCTGCTGGGAGTTTATAATGTCTCTTTGAAAGAAAATGCTAAAAGACCAGATAATATGAAATGGACTTCACTGATTTTGTTTTTTTTTTTTTTAAAAAGATGACCGGTAAGGGGATCTTAACCCTTGACTTGGTGTTGTCAGCACCACGCTCAGCCAGTGAGTGAACCGGCCATCCCTATATAGGATCCGAACCCGGGGCCTTGGTGTTATCAGCACCGCACTCTCCCGAGTGAGCCACGGGCCGGCCCGGACTTCACTGGTTTTGAATAAGGCCAAATAATAATAATCAATCAAGAACTCAATGCAAGTATGGTATCCACCTCCAAGATAACTCCAGTGATCCCCACCTCCTACTATTCCTGTTCATAGTGTACTCTCCTCCCACTGTGAACAGGGCTGGCCTGTGCAACCAATAGGATACTGTGGAAATGTAGGCATCCCGGGCCGGCCCGTGGCTCACTCGGGAGAGTGCGGTGCTGATAACACCAAGGCCCCGGGTTCGGATCCTATATAGGGATGGCCGGTTCACTCACTGGCTGAGCGTGGTGCTGACAACACCAAGTCAAGGGTTAAGATCCCCTTACCGGTCATCTTTTTAAAAAAAAAAAAAAGAAAGAAAGAAATGTAGGCATCTGATCTCCAATGCTAGGTCATGAAAGACATGGCACCTTCCACCTTGTGCTTGCTTGAATGAATCACTCTGAGGGATGTTGGCCACCATGTTGTAAGGTCACTCAAGCAGCCCTATCAAGAGGTACTCATGGTAGCATCATCTTGTCAAACGTGGGTATAAGCCACCTTGGCAGCAGATCCTACAGCCCCAGTCAGACCTTCAAGTGAGACTGTAACTTCATTAGATATGCAGCCAGAACCACCTAACTAAGCCATGCTCCAATTCCTGACCCACAGATTCTGCGTGATTAAGATGCTAAGTTCAGGGATAATTTGTTCTGCAGCATTAGATATCTAATACAGCAGAGAGAGTAAGTGATCAATGAACACAGGGTATGTAGGAGGTATGGATGGTTACCTGCTCAGAGACCATACCACCTGTCCTCCTTCCTTATGGAACCTCCATTTAGTTTAAGAATTCTCCTCATGTCCACTTGGTTCAGGCATGGTGATCCCACCCCCACGAGAAGAACCCAGTTAGCCTTGGTCAGTCATTGTCCATCCATTTCCTTTGCTGGCAAATGGGTTAACAACAAGCATTTGCTCAATGCCTGGAAGTATGAAAATACTGTTATTTTCAAGCTTTTAATATTGTTTTAATTCATCATTTTGGGAAAGATGACTCATTCTCAGAAAAAACTTCAGTGAGTGTTTTGGCCCAATGAAAAAGCCAAAATTCTACTCTGGAATGAAGTTTGAAGAATGAGAAGGTAAAACTACAAACTAATGTAAATGCTGTCTTCACTGTGGGCAGGACTGCATCTCTAGAGGTGACAATGATGTTCCCTAGATGTGAGGTAAATCCTTTTTTTTCCTTACACTGGTCCCCCACAGAACAGGATGGGGTTTGGCTCTGGGTTTGGAGGGTATAGCTAAAAGTATTACTGCAGGGCCAAAGAAGGATGTCAGGTCTAGGCCAAGGAGAGAGAGGGCTTGCCAGGCCCTCCAGGGGAGGAGCGTGACCCTGCAGCAAAAATATCTGCAGCACACAATTGTGATTTCTCTTCCACACTGCAATCCCTTCTATTACCCCTATGTCTGGCTATACCAAGGGAAGAGCTGGGTCCCTGAGGCAGCACAGAGGAACCACGTGCAGGATGGCAAGAGGTCTCGGACAGAATCTCCTGAGGCAGTCATTCTTCAGAAGCCCCCAAAAATACCAGAGAGGAGAAACTGGTAATTGGACTTCCTAAAGGCAGGTATGCACAGTGCAGAACAGACTGTTGTCACATGGACTTTAAAGGAAATGCTGACCATAAACATTGGCCTTCAATTACACCAACCTGCCCTCTCCCACCTCCATTAAACTCAGTCACCCCCTTCCATATTCTATCCTAAAGGGCTTCACCCTTCACTTTCTGGAGTTTGGGGGTTTCTGTACATTTTGAGTTTCACTTGACAGGTTATAAATACATCCTGTTTTTCTCTGAGGAAGAGATAAATGCATCCTAATCTTTGTTTCCTGTGATAACTTGTGTTCTAACCACAGAGGAAAAAGAGCAATAAGAACTAAAAAACAAAAAAATAAATTCTATAATTTCAACAACAATAGAAAGAACAAGCATGTAACCCAATTCTGGCCAGTGAGGGCAAGTCTGCTGAGAGGACTTCTGGGAAAGATTGTCTTGCTTCTAATGAGTCACAGGAAAGAGATGTCAACTTTTCTCTCATTTGGCCTCATCGGGTCTGCTTGTGATGTCTGGAACTGCTCAGCCTTCTTGGTGAGACGAGAAAAAAAGTGACATACAGAGGAGGCCAGAGCCCTAGCTCTGAATGTGTATAGAAAGATAATATATTTCCCCAATTGGGTTGAGTGCTGTATTAATGGAAGCATTCCAATATAGCAGGGGGTCAATAAAGCTTTGATTAAATGGATAACTGCATTTGCCCAAAATAAGTAATGGTAGTGATGAAACTTTATTTTATAATATATTTGAAGCTCGATCTTCCTCAGTACAATTATGTGGTACTAATTCGATTGAAAACTATCTCACCCATTTGATGACAGCAATTCTTTATTATTTTGGTGTCTGGCTGGTACAGGGATGGACCCCGGAACTTGGTGTTATCAGCACCACACTCTGACTGACTGAGCTAACCGGCCAGCTTAATGACAATTCTTTAAACTGATGGTTCCCAACCCTGGCTGCACATTAGATTCACTAGGAGAGTCTTTAAGTATACTGATGCCTAGGCCCCACTCCAGACCAGGCATTTGGTATTTGTGGAAAGCCCTCCAGCCCAGTCTCCCTGCTTGCTGACTGCATTTCAGCCATACAGTTCTCCTCTCTGTTCCTCAAATATACCAGACTTTTCCAGCACTGGAGCTCCAGCGCTACTTTCCACTGCCACACCCTCAGGTCTCACTTAAATAGTCTCTTCCCAGAAAGCGTCTTCTGATCATCTGACAAGTAGGATTGCAAACCCCCCCCCATTCAACCTGATGATCTCATAGCTCCTGTGTCATGTGTCATTATTATTACCAAATAAAGAAATAGAGCTAGGCTATTTGAATAAACAGCTTCAGAATAAAATAGAAAAATTGATGAGATTTCAGGGAAGACAGGTCATTTCTACTTGGAACACTTAAGGCTTTGTGGAATCTTTGAATTAGGTCTTGACATTGGCTAGCATTTGATTTGTTGAGATGGGAGTGGTGGCATTTTAGAAAGAGGTGATAGCTTGAGTGTAGGAGGGAGGTAGAAAATGGCAGAGAGTATATGGAGAAGAAGAAAGTGGCCGGCAGATAAGGGAAGCGGCAGGTGAGGGGGGACGGGGAGGAGCTTTTTGACGGGTTAGACCTGATAAGATAAAACAGGAAATAGAGGGTCTCCATTGAACAATAGCTACAATAGGTGTTATAGAGTAATTCCAGCTTGAGTGGAACCAGATATGGCTGCAGGACTGAAAGAGCAGCTCATTCTAGGTAGAAAAAGAAAGTAAAAGGCATTTGGGGGGGGGGCGGGGGTCAGTGAATTAACTTCTACTGATGACGAAACAAGCCTCTGGAAGAAGAAAGATAAAAGCATAAATTGCTTGCTCAACCACAACCGCTTGGGAGCGCTGCAAGCTTCATGAAGAAACCAAAATCTGTCCCAGCAGCTCCCTCTTCTGGCAGAAATTAGTACTGCAGGCTAAGATGGTTGACCTCTTTAATTAAAAGGCATTTGCCAGTCTCTGAACAATATACCTGAATGGGGGTCATATTTACAATAACTTAGGATTTCGTTGTGCTTTCAGGTAAAACATAAAAGAAAAACTACTTAAATACAAGCCATGTGCTTCTGGTTTATTCAAACCTTACACAATCACACCTATGTAAATGAACCTTACGTAGTAATTTGAGTGTGAAAACAAATTTTGGTGTGCTTCAATAATCAGGTCTGACTGCTTCGTTCAGTTGGTTAGAGAACAGCCTTATAACACCAAGGTAACGGGTTCGGGTCCCTGTACCAACCGGCCACCAAAAAAGAAAAATAATAATAAAATGGTTAAAGTGCTTGGAACATATGAGATTACCACCTATTCAAAAAGTTACATTGAAAATAGAAAAATTATCATGGGACAATAACAAATAATCATGAATTAATTATAAAAATAAGTGCTGAGATGGATCTTTGCCCCCAAGAACTATTAAAATAGAAACTTGTATTTGTTATCCCTTTGAAATCTTTATGTAAAGCATGCTTTTAATATGATGTTATAAAAGCAGATTTTTCTCATTGTTCTCAAGTTCTCTTGAAATTTTGTTTTGTAGCTGGCTGGTACGGGGACCCAACGCTGGACCTCGGCGTTATTAGTACCACCCTCTAACCAACAGAGCTAATTGGCCAGTCCACATTCTATATTTTTTAAAAAATCAGAATTAAAAAACAAAATGAAGAGTATGATACCGTGATGCCTTTAACTTGGCAGTTCCAGATGAAGCAACCGTTTTTTTTTCCTTTTGGCAGCTGGCCTGTATGGGGATCCAACCCCTTGACCTTGGTGTTACCAGCACTCTGCTCTCCCAAATGAGCTAACAGCCAGCCCTCAATTTAAGTAACCTATCCTACAGAAATATTAATATACAAAAGATAAACATGAAGATGTACTTTGCAGCAGCACTGTAATAACAAAAATCTGTAAACAAATGTTGGTGAACAGGTTAAATAAATCATACGCTATCCATACAAGATTATGGAAAAGAATGAGGTAAACCTGGATATGCTGGCACTGAAAGATACCCATCATTAATTTGCCAAAAAAAAAAAAAAGCTGAGAAATGTTATGCTGAGAATTATCCAATTTGTATGTGTACACATACACACATGCATAATAAAGGCTGGCTGGTTGGTTCAATTGGTTAGAGCATGGTGTTCATAACACCAAGGTCTGGGGTTTCACCCTGTGCCAGCCAAAAAAAAAAAAAGTACATATGTACATAGTAAATATGGTGTATTTGTTACACAAGAGAAAAGTCCAAGAGTACCAAATTTAAAAGTAGTCATCCCTGGGAAATAAAATTGGGTGATTAAAACAGGTGAATTACTATCACCTTTGACTTTATAAGCCTGCACGCACACAACATACAAGCATACACTGTAATCAGAAATAGTAAGAGGCAAATATATTCCTAATTAAAGTTTTTCCTGGGAGTGAGTTTTGTATGAAAATTTTAGTTTCTATGTCACTCATTTCATTGTGCTTGTATTGCTCTACTTTTCAAAACCTTTCTAGTACCTAACACCTGTAACTAGCAATTCCTCTCAGTGAACTTAAGCACTTCAGTTCAAGGAGTGTTCTTCATTGACTTTTGAATTAAGTATCCCCACCCCTAGAACATTCACACGGTTAGCTGTCAGACTGATGTTCCCTCCAATGCCAAAATCCTTCTGGCTCTGTGCAATGCACATAGGTCTTAAGGAATACTGAGCTGTAAGGGATGACCCAACCTTATGTTACTAAGAACAGTATTGTTACCCACTATTCTTGATTTCTGGTTGTAGTTTTGAAGCCAGTTTTCAAAAAGCACTCAGCACTTTTTAAGGAACCTTTCAATACCTGTCATCCAGAGTGAACATCTTCAAGACACTATTTAAGGACTTTTTTACACCAAGGCCACTCAGATTTTAATGAGCACTAGTTACAGAAACTAGCATTCTAAATGGGAAGTAATTACAGGGCCTGGTGGTTTGTTCCTTGGGTTCTTCCAAAGTTGTTTCTTTACCTATGTGCTGACTTACACTGTTAAGACATGGAAATTATTACACACATTAGATGCATTAATGACATCAAGTGAAAACCCACCCACAATAAATTTGCACAGCGTTAGCTGATTTCTCAATCTGCATTAATTTCAGTTATTGATCTCTAAAGCTAGGATTGGTTTAAACCTGTTCACTCCAGTTACAATTGGGAGAAACAACACAAATTTCTACAGCAAAGGTTATGCATGGACCCCCCCTCCCCCCCAAACTGAAGGGGTGTGTTGCTCTGCGGAGAAATGGAAGTTTTTTAACATACCTCTGGATTTCTGGGATGCCTACCATCTGCTGCCAATTCTTTATATTAAACCAGCTTCCCTGCCATTTCCACCTTAGGTTCCAGTCACAATGTGTAATTCCTTACCAGTGCCATCTAACTGGACAAATGCCACTTCTATACACTTGTGCAAATTAAGGCCAGAGGTCAATTGCTTCACCCACTGATTAGGTTATACACGAACCCTTCCTTTGTGGTGACTACCACACAAAATTTGAGTTCATCTTGTCAAGTTAACCTCAGTAATCATGGTATTTCAACCAATAGCTTTTATTCTCTAAATATCTGCTATCTGAACTTCCCACACAGTGGGTAAGTGTACTTTCTACTTGTTACCTGCCACACCTTTTCAAAAAAATCTGGTCAAAGGCCAAAACTTCAGATCCCCACACTAGCCAGCTGCCAAAAAAAAACCTGGTCAAGTGACTTCTGCAGATCAATTTTAGAGATGTATCCCCTTCCCATCATTCCTTTTGGGAGGGAGGGGTTGCACACAGCTGGCCTGCACAACTCCCACCTTTTTAAGACCTCCTTCCCAGTGTTCCAGAAACTTTCCCACTCTCAGGCATCTCACCCTCAAACCACACTTTTAAAGTCAGCAGCTCACAAGTATATCTAACATATGGAAAATACCTTTACCTCCCAATAGCCTAGTTTTATTAGTATCCACCTGCTACAGTTCTATATATTAAAGCCACCTTTGACATTTCTTACCTCATGGTTAAGACAGAAACACTGGTAAAAACTGATTCCTGCACATCCCACTACAACGAACAATGAAAGACAATTTTGGAATGCAACAACTTTATTGAAAGAACAGTGCAATGAAATTTGTTGAAAGCTTATAAGGAAGGAAAAACTTAGACACCACCCCTCAAGCGCAGGACCAAGTGCAGAGTGGACTCTTTCTGAATGTTGTAGTCAGACAGGGTGCGTCCATCTTCCAGCTGTTTCCCAGCAAAGATCAACCTCTGCTGGTCAGGGGGGATCCCCTCCTTGTCTTGGATCTTGGCCTTGACGTTCTCAATGGTGTCACTGGGCTCGACCTCGAGGGTGATGGTCTTGCCGGTCAGGGTCTTCACGAAGATCTGCATCCCACCTCTGAGACGGAGCACCAGGTGCAAGGTGGACTCTTTCTGGATGTTGTAGTCAGACAGGGTGCGACCATCTTCCAGCTGTTTCCCAGCGAAGATCAACCTCTGCTGGTCAGGGGGGATCCCCTCCTTGTCTTGGATCTTGGCCTTGACGTTCTCAATGGTGTCACTGGGCTCGACCTCGAGGGTGATGGTCTTGCCGGTCAGGGTCTTCACGAAGATCTGCATCCCACCTCTGAGACGGAGCACCAGGTGCAAGGTGGACTCTTTCTGGATGTTGTAGTCAGACAGGGTGCGACCATCTTCCAGCTGTTTCCCAGCGAAGATCAACCTCTGCTGGTCAGGGGGGATGCCCTCCTTGTCTTGGATCTTGGCCTTGACGTTCTCAATGGTGTCACTGGGCTCGACCTCGAGGGTGATGGTCTTGCCGGTCAGGGTCTTCACGAAGATCTGCATCCCACCTCTGAGACGGAGCACCAGGTGCAAGGTGGACTCTTTCTGGATGTTGTAGTCAGACAGGGTGCGACCATCTTCCAGCTGTTTCCCAGCGAAGATCAACCTCTGCTGGTCAGGGGGGATGCCCTCCTTGTCTTGGATCTTGGCCTTGACGTTCTCAATGGTGTCACTGGGCTCGACCTCGAGGGTGATGGTCTTGCCGGTCAGGGTCTTCACGAAGATCTGCATCCCACCTCTGAGACGGAGCACCAGGTGCAAGGTGGACTCTTTCTGGATGTTGTAGTCAGACAGGGTGCGACCATCTTCCAGCTGTTTCCCAGCGAAGATCAACCTCTGCTGGTCAGGGGGGATGCCCTCCTTGTCTTGGATCTTGGCCTTGACGTTCTCAATGGTGTCACTGGGCTCGACCTCGAGGGTGATGGTCTTGCCGGTCAGGGTCTTCACGAAGATCTGCATCCCACCTCTGAGACGGAGCACCAGGTGCAAGGTGGACTCTTTCTGGATGTTGTAGTCAGACAGGGTGCGACCATCTTCCAGCTGTTTCCCAGCGAAGATCAACCTCTGCTGGTCAGGGGGGATGCCCTCCTTGTCTTGGATCTTGGCCTTGACGTTCTCGATGGTGTCACTGGGCTCGACCTCGAGGGTGATGGTCTTGCCGGTCAGGGTCTTCACAAAGATCTGCATTGTCTGTTACAAGGGAAAGGCAAATAACAACCCAAGAGTTTAGCAGACAATCCAGTTGAATTCCTACTGCCAAAAGCTAAGTATCATTTTATACTAGTTCAAACAACTATAATAAGCTTGCCTAAGAAACTCCCGAAATACACGCGACAGACCTGACAAACTTCAAAACCCAGGTTTTAGCCACTTACTAGGGAAAAGCATAAACACGTAACCAAAGTAAATTCAGGGGCTTCACTTCATTTATCTTCCCCCTTCACCGGATGTCCGGCCCCTGACAACTCACCAAGGTCGACCGCAGGCCCAAACCCTGTGTCCCGCGACTGAGAAAAACGTACGCCACGCATACCGGCAGGTGGCCCCACCCTACATTATTACCCAACGAAACGGGTGACGTCACGTGACCGCGACGACGAGCTTGCGCCCTCTCCCGCGGCAGCACCACTGCTGAGCGGCACCGCCATACTCAGCGCCCATCAACGAACGAAAAACGACTTCTCAGTCACTCCCTGAGACAGACTTCGCGTTAGAATCCCAGTACAGTGCCCAGTCCCGTCCAAGTATTTGCTCTCCGGCCCTACTTAAAGCCTTAAAGAGCCCTTCTTTTTTCCCCCACCCACCATACCCCCAGTCTTGGGTCCCCAACCTCGTAAGCGGCTTTATAGGAAGGCCTCTTCCAATTACGGCTCCGAAACGGCCGCCATCTTACTGCGTTTCTCCCCCTCAGAGCCACTCTGCTCGCGGGCCCCGGGCGACTAACAGCCTCGGCTGCCTCTCCGCCCGCGGCGGGAACCTTTCCATCCTCCCCTGTGGCCACTACAGTCAGGGCCAGTGCTGCGGCCGCTCTACTCACCAAGTGGTGATGGTAACCGCACACACAGAAAAAGAGCAACCGAACTGCCGACCTTCACGAAACTAGCTGCGCCACACCCGGCGCTTGCTTATATAGTCATCTGTGACCGCTGCTCCGGAGAGATCCCTCCGCAGAAACGCCGAGAAGGGACTACTTTTTCATCCCGTTCCGCTCTCTGGAAAGAAAATTCGAGTCCCGGAGTTACCCAGTCTCACTCCTAAAATGTCCTCCTGTTGGGACTAGGGCTTTGGGGCTGAATCTGGTGGGAGATAGATCGCCGTCCTGTCCGGCCTGGCGGAAGGGTCAGCGCGACCGTTGCGCGCTGCGTCCACGGACGTCGCCGGCACTTGACTTGGGGGAGGGGAGGTGGCCAGCGGGTGGGGCGAAAACCCGGTGCCGAATTCCGCGGCGCTGGGAGCGGGAAGGCGGCCTGAGCCCACTCCCCTCAGCCCCAACGGTCCCCGCGGGTTCTCGAGACCCCACTTGGCGCACGAGGGGCGCCGGCCGGGCGCCTGTTGGGGAGTTAGGGCGCCCCTCCGCTCGTGCGCACCCCGCCCTGCCACCCCACCTTCCGGTCCTGTGCGAGAGAGGGGTCTTTATTTTGTGTTACATTATAGATAATCATAGTGTGTGTTTTGCTAAACTCTCCTCACCCGCAGGACCGTCGTGGGGGCTCCCCCGGACCCCAGCCCCCCACTTTTGGTGACCGGGCCCATCCCCCTCCGAGCGGGCACTGGGACAAGGCGAATGACTCGGCAAATCTCAGATTCACAGGCCAAGGCCTCTGATCTAAGGACAAGCAGTCCTCAAAACTAATAAACGAAAAATGTCTTGCCAACGGAGAAACGAATCTGGCGTGTCTAGGTTGGATTTGGAAAATAAAAGGGGAAAATCCATACAGCTTTTTAAAATTACTCGTATTGGAGTTGGAACTGAAAGCTGACAGAACTAGGTCTTTCTAGATTGTTCTTGAGCCTTCCCGTCTATTCTCGGTGGCCTGGGGTTTGAGAAGGTTGTACTTGGCTGTCAACAAGGAGCATCGAAATTTCAGTTCTTTCGATATTCAGTTTAGCCCAGATATTGAACCCACTTAAGCCTGAGATTTTAAAACACACGAATTTCAGTCCTGGCCGGCGAGGGGCGGGGGTCTGGTATTTAAATATGTCGCATATGAAATGTAATTCTAGGAGAAAATTCCGTTTTGATAAAAGAGGGGGTACAAAGGATCCCCAGCCAAATTTTTAATTTTTTTCCACAGCCTATTTTGTGAGCCCTACGTGTCATTTCTTCAACGTTTTAAAAGTGTTTTACCGTACCAGCCAGCCTCCAAAAACAAAAAACAAAACAAAACAAAATAAGTAACGTGTTTTCAAATATATGAGCATGGTGAGATTTTAAAACAGGTTTTTAAAAATTAACATTGAAAAGTCTCCCTCGCACCATCAATTCCCCAGCCACTCTTCCTTCTGGACTGTTCTAGAAATATTCCCAGTTTCTACCATGGGGGGCGGGAGCATATTTTAACATCTACCCTAAAGCCTTCGAGAAAAAAAGACAGGAAAAGAAGCTACTAACTGAAAAATGTTCTGCCCTTAGGAAAAGGCCGCATTCCTATTTTAGGTTATTATATAAAAAGTCTACTCTGAACAGGTCAGTTATTTAAACATTATACTTAAAATGTCAGACAAAACAGAACTATGTATTTTCTGTGGTCACCTATGTTTGTATATATTTATAAAAATACAAGCTCTGAGCATTGTTCAAAATAGACATTAACCTCTAATTTTTAACATTTTTCAAAGACAATTCATGTGATACTGGGAAATTAAAATACATAATAATTTTTAAAAAGTTATTTTCCAGGTTTAGCAGGAGACCCCAGTGATTTCCAACACAGATTTCTGTGAAAGTTATTTATTTCTAGATTTCAGGAAGCTTTTTATTTATTTTATTTTATTTTTTAAATTTTTTGGCAGCTGGCTGGTATCAGGAAGTTTCTAAAGGAACAATATAAGCTGAGGTTCCTTCTAAGGTGACCAGGCCTGGCTTCAAACCACACCCTGTTTGCTTTTGGCTGTTGCTTTGCTGCAAGCCTTGTGATTCATGTTGTTTAAAGGCTGAGTCACGAGCTTTGTGACATAGCATTTTTTCACAGTCCAAAAGATACAAAGTAAAAACAGCCCTGATTTCAAAGGAGAAGAGGAGAGAAGAGAAGGGAGAAGGAGAGGGGCTTGGGCTGTGGGAATGGGCCAAGGGTTAGCTCCAAAGAGAAACCAGTGTTGTCTCCAGCAGAAGAAATTCCCCAGGGCCTGACCCGTGGCTCACTCGGGAGAGTGTGGTGCTGACACCACCAAGGCCAAGGGTTAAGATCCCCTTCCCAGTTATCTTTTAAAAAAAAAAAAAGAAAAAATTCCCCAAACACCCCAACATTCCCTAACTTCAGTGTAACAGTGGGTTGTTATTGAAACAAAGAAATAAACATTTCTCCAAGGTTTCTGAGGTGAGAGGGAGAGGCAGAGAAAATGATCTCCCCAAAGAGAGAGACTGCTGATGCTTCTCTGGAGCAGTGGTTCACAAACAGGAGTGATTTGCCCTTCAGGGGACATTTGGCAATGTTTGGAGACGTTTTTGTCACAACTGTTGGGGTGGAGATGGGGGAATGCTACTTCTAGCATCTAGTGGTGGAGTTCGGGGATGCTGCTAAACATTCTACAATGGACAGTCCCCCACAACAGAATTATTCGGCCCAAGACGTCAGTAGTGCCAAGGTTGAAAACCCTGTTTTACAGAGGACATTTGTTGTTGTTAGAACTTCTTTTCTATTTTCTGAAAAAGGCTGCTAAAGTCTTAATATCCCACTTGGACTCAGGAGTTGGCTATCAAGTCATGCTCCTAAAACCTAAACTCCCTTGACCTAGAATGTGATGTGCTAGAATGTGCGAGAAGCTGGATGAGTCATTGGATCCACTCTGAGTTCGTTTCACCCACAGATCCATCCTTTGGAGGCACCCCAGGGAAAGACTGCTTCAGAGCTGGCACCAATGGTAAAATGACAGAGGCCCAGCAACAGGGCAGGATTGGCAGGTAGATGTGAGCACGTGATGGGCTGAGCTCACAAAGGGCTAGGGTGTTGGGCTGCAGCTGGAAGGGGTGGGGGTGGACTGGTGCCAGCTTGTCTGTTTACCTTTCTTTTTTCCCCAGAAGAATTCAGTTCCCCTGAAGGTCACAACCCTGTAGGTGACTAATTCAGATCACGAAACCCTCAGAGAGCACAAGGGTTGGCATATATTTTTCCCCCAACAGAAAGAGTGAAATCAGAGCTGGATGGGAAAGGTTTGCCTTGCTTTGTCATCGGTTATATAACTATAAAAGGTTGTCAAGGGTATCTGCAGGTTAGATGCCTTACAAACCAAAAGAAAAAAAAACCCAAGGGATTTTGTTCTTTTCCCCGTTTACATGTGCACTTTTGAATTGTATGGCAAACTGCTCCAGCCAAAAAATAACCAATTCATCCCTCACCAGTCAAAATCAGTATTAAGTTCTAGTCTCCAAATTTGCCTAGTTTGGGAATGTTAGGAAGTTATTTAACCTATTTGGTTTTTGTTGTTGATTGTTTTTGTTTTTAAATTGTGGTAAGAGACACATAACATAAAATTTACCATTTTTAAGCGTACAGTTCATTGGCATTAAGTACATTCATGCTGTTATGCAACTGTCACCCTATCCATCCACAGAACTATTTTCATCTTGAAATACTGAAACTCTCTCTGTACCCATTAAATAACTCCCCACTCCCCATGCCCTCAGCCCCTGGTACCCACCACTCTATTTTCTGTCTCTATGAATTTGCCTCCTCCAGCTACCTCGGCTTTGTTTTTTTTAAGTGTAAAATAAAATTTAATAGTTGGAAAAACATTTCTTTTCAAAGATTTACAACTTTCTTAGGAAGCACCAATTCCCAACACGAGCCTTTAATATTAAAAACTCCTTATGATATCTGTTCTTGTCATGCATTATTAGAAATATTTAATTATAGGATACAAAGTAAAACAGAAGCATATAATTACTTTTGTGTTAGGCCTGATCACTTTAAAAATAACCCTCAACTTTTTGTTCCCTAAACCTTGTTGACATTTAGGGAGGAATAACCTTC